TTTAGATATAGTCCTTGCGAAAAGTTTTCAGTTAAAAAAATTAGAATGAGAAGCACGATATCAAGGTGAATCATTTATAATTTTGTGCTTTTCTTATAAATTAAATAAAGTAAAATAATATTTAATAGATCATTTTAATTTTGTTGCTAAAAAAATCTGATCATTATAAAAATACTAATATTTCTAACATAGTTTTGATTTATTTAGTTGAGTTATCACCCTAGTATGTATCCTATATATGTTCAATAGAACTGTCTACCAAAAGTGCAGTAACAAGACATATTAGATTACTATTAATTTTCCTTAAGTTGTGTCAACAAAAAGAAAATCTACAAGCTGACGGCTGGCTAAGAGTAATATAAAAATAGAGCTTCAAAATAATAAAAATTATTATATAGAAGTTACAAATTTTATTTCACATTAACTTGTATTTAATTTCTTGAAATTGTCGATGATCTGGACTTATTAAAGAGCGTGAATATGGTCTGAAAGAATAAAGTAAAAAATTATCAATGCTTAAAACTTTAGATATATTTAAAGACTAGATAGGTAATTTCTTTTTTTTTGTATATATATATTGATTCAAAATTAAGTAAAGTTTTCCTTTAATTTGTTATTACAGCTCATTATTAATTAATTTATTGATTGCTCATAGTTAAATTGAAAGTTTTATTATTTTTTTTTATCTGGCCCCGATTAGTTATTGCATTATCCCATCATGTGGGCAAGTCATATTATGATCGAAAAGCAAACCAAAATTTTAACCATAAACTTATATCTATATAAGATAGTATACAAACTTGCATTTCCTTTTTTATTAGCCTACACAATGTCCTTTATACTATTAATCTTATGATTATATGCAGAATTAATTTCAACTACAATATACAATAGATAGATTAGATATGCTGTAGATATAAATTGATTATATACAGGTCATTGTTCACTAAAAAATATATTTACTATTATTAGGATATTATTGACTTGACCCAGATTTAATTTATCAAACCGGTTAATGAATAAAGCCGAATAAGCTGATAGCTTCTCTACATTTATTAGATTATATAAGTAAAATAATGTTCTTACAAATTTTTTTTTAATACAAAGTTTACTATTCGGTAATTAATATTTTTGTATAACTACATATTGATATCGATCGATTTAGCATTAATAATTAACAGTCAAGAAGTTCACTGACTGGTAATGACTTCACTATTCCAATTTTGGTTGGAATTTCAAGATCGATAGTATACTCGTCACACTTTCTGATGGCGTTTTGCATATCTTTATGATTGTCTTGGGCAACAAGGACAGTTTTGACTACTTGCTGTACGAAAATTTTAAGATTCGTAATTATTTCCGAATCTTTTTTTAATTTTGTTTGATCAGTCACCTTTAAATGCATTAGTAGTAATTGTTTCCAAACTTCATACGTAACAAATTCATTCAATTTATCATAAGGTTCTACCGCACTATTTGTTCATTATTGATTATTTAATACAAAAAAAATGATTAAGTTAAATATTATTATTATTTTGTCACTACAAACAGAGTTAGTAAATGACCTCAAATGATTTTAAAATAACCTCATTACATGATAATTTTATTAGTTTTATATACCAAATAACCTTGTTCATTTTTAAAAATAGCAAATAACTAATCACGAAATTTATTATCACTGACTATGAACCTTTCATTTAATGCTCTAAATTTGTTTGCCAACTTTACCATGACTACATGGAAGTTGTGACGATACATATTAAACTATCTATCGACATCTCTTACTAAGGGTCCTAACCTTGGATCAGCTTTTGTAATTTTACAAATCTTCACAATAATTTCTTCATATAGCACTTTACTATTATTTCTCATTTAGAAGAAGAGTGCTTTGCACTCTTCCTGTAATTGGAATTTAATATATTAGATTTAAAACCGAATATTAGTAATTATTATACGACTTTTATAAGGTAAAAACACAGAATCTTATGTGGTTAATTTCTGGAAGTTTCAGTATAGATTCATATAATATGGAAGACATTGAGGTTGTAATATGTTCTTTATTTCCTTCATCTACTCTTGTCATCATTCCGTTTCTAATATTAGTTGCTAAATCTAATATTCTTTTATGATGTGCTAATCACAGCACAATTTCAAATTAATTATCTACTTGTTGAAATTGCGCTGATCATTTTTGTAATAAATTATCTATTATTCATTAACAATAAAACTATTAATCCAAATTTAATGTATAAAAAGATGACAAGATTCAAGATATAATATCAGTTTTGGCAATCACCCTTATCAAGAATGTACCCACACTAAATAATAAATATCATTAAAGATAGGTATATTCTTAATAAGGTGTTCGAAATTGATTGCCAAACACCAATAATATTACCATTTCTATGAGCTGGTAAAGCAATATCATTGCCCTGTAGCAAAGAAACATCGTTTTTATGAACAGAAGAAACTGGATGAGACGAAGTAGCTTCATTATTTTTGTGGATGGAAGAAACTGAATGAGGCAAAATAGCTTTATTATTTTCATAAGCTGACGAGGAAACTTGAGGAGAAATGATGCCATTATCACTTTCATTATCTGACAAGGAAACTTGTGAAGTTATATTAATATCTTCATTATCTGTTGAAGTAGCATCGTCATAGTCTTCGTGTCTTTGATTAATATTTTTGATGGACGTTAGTTCGGATAACTGCTCTTGTAGATATACAATTAGTGATTAGCTATTTTTTATTATTAAATTTTTGAAAGATAGACTTATGGAACTTACGACATTATTATTTTGTTGTTTTTCATTATATTTCCAATTTTTTTTTGGAATAGAAGAACTTGTATCTTGTGCATTTTTATTGCATTTCTGTGTTCTGAGGGCTGAATTTATATTTGAAGATTAATTAGATAACACGACGCAGTGAATAAATTAAATTTTTTCTTATATAAGCATACCTGGTTGCTTTTCAGCAGTTATTTCTTTTGATGTTTTTAATTCTATTATAAGAAAAAAATTTATTAAAAAATTGATAAAATTTTTTTTAGTAAAAACTTTGTTAACTTGCTGAATTTTCGTTTAGGTATATTGATTAATGTAAAGTATATTATTTTATTAACTCTCTTTTCTTTTCACTATTTTTTTTGATATTTAAATTTTTAATCTTTCGATATATTTTACTCTTTCTTTATTAAGCAAGCAAAAGAACCTTTTTAAGTAATATTGTTATGCAATAATTTATTATATAATCTATCGATCATTTTCTGCATCTGTCAAAATAAACTTTTTAATATGATTACTTGAATTAGCCTAAGTTGCACCTGCTAGAAATATTATTATTATTTTTTTTTTTTAATATTAAGGTGACTACTTGGAGGTCTGGCACATTTTATTAACTTTGGTTGTGAATGTCAGGGCAGCCACAGGACCACCCCTGACTTTGTTACATTAACAAGAGTACATTCTAGTCATATCTGCACTTTTTGAGCGTCTAATTAAGTAGTTCCCTATTACTAAGTACTACACTAGATACCGTACCTATAACCCACTGTTACTTGAGTTACCCAATTAAACCCTCTGATCAACTTAGTGCCATCAGATATTCTCCCCAAAGAGGAACTGCCGCTAAGGCCCCTTAGAACTAATTTATCCTCGTGGTAAACCTATTAGAGCGGTCTATGTCTCACAAACATGTATCATCTAGATTTTTGGTAACTTATGCCTAGGCCGAAACCAAGTACTTGCGGTATTTTTCTGCTACCGTTACCTATTCCTTGCCTTTGCAAAGTTTACACAAACCCCAACACACACTTTATAGACTATCACCGGTACCTAAGTTCTATCAGCAATCTAAACTCCCAATCCAGATAGCCCAGAAGGGCTGTGACCTGCTCCTAGTTCCCACAGTTGGGTTTTTTTCCTCCGGTTACTCGGCCGGCGGCCTGGTTGGTATAGTGTCTTTTACCAAACACCAGTCCTGTTCAGATTACTGAAATCAGTGTCCGGATCCCTTAGATAGCTTTTTACGTAGTATTGTCAAAGATCTGTCCTACCTCTCTACTTGGGACTTGTCAAGCAGGCTTCTGTGTGCCCTAATACCTAGATTTACACAGCCATTTCACACAGGTTTCATGTAATTCATGTGTCACACTATAGTTCCACAGCTTCCTAATAACCACTAATACAACCAGATTTACAGATCCGATAATCCATCAGTTT